TTGCTGCCCTACCCCCTGCTGGTGGCTGGTACTCCTTTCTTTGCATGTGCTGCTTTCCTTCTGTCCTGATCCAGTGACAAATTGCTGCTTCTTATCCCTCATGGGCTAGAAAGCCAGACAGCGCAACTTGCCAGTATTGTGGCTAAAAGGGAACAAAATCGTCTGAGTCTGTCTTAGAGTGCCGTGCCTCAGCCTCAGCCAGTCGCCTTTGGGATGTCAGTTGGGGCTGCACAGGGACCATGGTCTGGTCAGCTGAGGCTGGTAAGTGGTGATTTCCAGATGGAAGAAGTGCTTCGTAGGTTTGTGTCCTGCAGGAGGGCAATAGGTGGGCCCTCTGCCCTGAGCCCAGGGGTGCTCCTGGCCCTCAACTGGTGGCTTCGGGGATGGTGCCATGTGTAACTGAGCCAAGTGTGTCACTGCACGATCTTGTGCCTCCTTCCTTCTTAATGTCATCCCACAGCCAAAGCTGTGAACGAGAATTGAGGAAGGAAGGGGAAGGAAGGATAAAGTAAGCAAATGTGGAAAATAGAGACGAGAACTGTTTTACTCATGAATGTCCTTGATGAAACAGTAAAAATCACACACACTGTGAAACTCTGGCCTGGAGAGTGCATGCATCCCTCTGCCACTCACCCATCCCGGCAGTGGTCTATGGGAAGCACACTGGTGGCTCTTTGGGCCCTGAACTAAACCAGCTGCTTTTCTCATGCAGAGGGGCACCAAACTATGGCTATTCAAACTTGAGTATGTGGCATGTACCTTCCCCAAAAACTAACTAAATAAGATGATCTTGTTACTTCAGGGAAAACAACTGACAGTACATATTATCAATGGTAAAACTCAAGTTTTCTAATGAAAATCTGAATTTTCACAAACTTTCATCCACCATTGTGGTCCTGACCAACATCTAGAGATATTTTTTATGGGATCCATGGTGATACTAATAAATGAGATTTTTGTGTGGAACAATGTAATATGTCAACATTTAAAAGACCTGTATAATGTGGTAAAGTAATATTTTTCTAAATGACCAATATATGACATATAAAATCATATGTGGATAAAAGATCCTCCCAAATATTTAAACCAATCTATTTATATAATGATATGAACAATTAATTGATATAGTTTTGGGTTTTATATTACCCTATCCCCTTATGCAAATAACCTTTAAGATACTACCATTTGTTGTGACATGGAAAACTACCAAAGAAAAATACCTACAGTAAGCTGAAAAAGTTGTTCCTTTTCCAACTACTAATCTACGTGAAGCCATATTTTTCTCATATATTTCAAGTAGGACAACGTGCAGTACTCTAACACTCTGAATGAATGGCAGATGTTAGAATCTGGTTGTCCACTCTTAAGCAGGGCATTAAAGGAATTTTCAAAAAATGTTGAACAGTAATTGACAAAATGGTGTGTGTGTGTGTGTGTGTGTGTGTGTGTGTGCATGTGTGTGAGAGAGAGACACAGAGAGAGAGAGAGAAAGAGAGAAAGAAAGATCTCTTAGCCCACAAGCAGTACTTACGGAGAAACTTAAAGTCAAGACCGACTACCATCTTTCCTACTATTCAACATTGTACTGATATTCCTCCTTTAATGACCTACCTGTTTAATGACTGTTTAGACTAATGGCTGAGGCGCACTGTTCAGACTTTCTACCTGCCACTTGGATTTACAATACGGTAATGTGAATAGCAGTGCGGCCTTACGGTGGCTTCTACTGCAGTATAGTACTGTAAATTCTGCTGATTGTATGTACAGCACAGTACTGTAGTTTTATGTTCTTTTATACATCATAGTACTGCTCATAAGAGTTATGCAAATAAAAGCAAAGTCAACAAGCTGGAGTGTCCTTTGACCATTTGTTTGTTCTGGATGTTGTAACGTATATCTATATCTACATATCAATATAGCTACATATATATATGTAGCTATATTGATATGTAGATATTGTCATAGTTCGTGTCTAGATGTCCCCCCCGCAAAGCCTCGTGTAGTCATGGAGTGAGTTTCTAGAGTTTATGATTGATCTATGGTCCAGTGCTGGGATTATAGGTGTGAGTGCTACACCTGCCCTGGAGTGGGTGGTTTACATACAATATAAGGAATGGAAAGAGGCTTGCTTGCTGCTTCTCTCTTTTTGCTCTTGTTGCTTTTGCTGTCTTCCACCACCATGAAATGTTGTCCTCTGCCATGTGCCACTCTGCCTTGGAGCCAGCCAAGTGTGGACTGAAACCTCCACAAACTGTGAGCTAAATAAACCTTTCCTTCCTTAATTTTTGGCATCAGATATTTTGTCTCAGCAATGAGGAAAAAGTAATGAAGACAAAAATATAGATATATACATATATATCTCCAATTCATTTAGTAACCTAGTTACAGGAATGGAACTCGATCATTAAACAAGGAATGTCTGTAATAGAGATATTTTGCCCACACAATGAAATAAGAAAAACTAGAGGGAAATGAGTGTGTGATAAAAAGAAAAAAATACCTTTACTTTCCAATTATATGACAGTACACTTGCAAGAGCCCCCTGAATCAGTGATAAAACTAACTGAAAGAGTAATACATTAGAGCAGCACAATGCAGTGTTAATACACAAAAATTAGTAGCCTTGAACAATAAGCTGAGTATCATGGTGGCAATGATGATAAGATTTACATAAGATTTTACAATACACTTTACAATAAGATTACATACTTAGGAATAATTTTAACAAGTATAAAAGCACAAGTATGTGTGAGGAACCATTTAAAATGCTCCTGAAAGACACAAAAGTAGAACTAAACAAATGAGAAAGTGTCCCCTGCACTTGTGCAGGAAGCTTCAACATTATGTAGGGATAAGTTTTCCAGAAGTTAAGCTACACATTTAATGTAAACCTAATAAAAAAAACCCCATGGAGCTATTTTACAGAGTTGGATAAGTTGATACCAAAGTTCATGTAGAAAAATATACTTGCAAAAATAGTGAAGAAAATACTGAAAAAAGAAAGCCACCAAGGAAGTCTTATGATGTTAAGACATACAATAAAGCCTCTATAACTAAAACAGTGTGGCATTAGTGCTAGAATAGACTGTTGTACAGAATAACAGAAGAAAGTGCCAAGTCAGACCCAGGCATGTATGGAAATTTATTATGGGATAAAGGTGGCATCTGAGAGCCCAGGTTTAAATGTCTGTAAGACAGCTAAAAAGCCACTTAGAGAAAGATATAATTAGTTGTATGTCTCATACACTATAGAAGAGTAGCTCTGCCTGCATTAGGGATCTCAATGTAAAAATGAAACCATAAAAGTATCAGGAGACAAGGGCAAATTTCATTTTAACCTCTGTGTGAGGAAATGACTTTTGAACTATGACCCAGACTCATGAGGTAATTAAAAAAGAGATTGATAAATGTGACTACATAAAACTTTAAAAATCTTTCAGTCACATAAGTTAAAAGAAGAAGGACTAGGAGAACTTATTCTCAACATACACCAAAAAGGCCCATATCCCTACAGGGAGCTCTGGAAAATTGATTGCCAAAATCCCAACAGAAAAATGGGGAAGAAATATGAGGAGACAGTTCACTAAAAAGCAGGATAGAGAAGGGGCCCTCTATCATGAAATAAGGTTCAAATGCACCATCATTAGAGAAATGCAAATGAAGGCAACGCTAAGATGTATTTTCTCACCTAGATTGAAAAATGTTAAGTATGTAATGGGACACCACATTCTGTTGGCCAGCACTGTGGAGAAACAGACCTCTCGTGGGTTGCTGGGAGAAATACAAATTGGTGCAACTCTGCTGGAGGGAAATTTGACAAAAACAAAGCTACATCTGTGCCTACCTTTTGACCCAGCAGCCCCACTGCTAGGAATCCACCCTGAAAATAGCACTCAGTGGTAAGAAAATGCATGTGACCAGGGTTAGCCGTGGCAGCATTGCTTTCAGTTGCAGAATACAGGGCATACTTGTGTGTCTGTACACAGGAGAAGGGGCTAAACACATACCACGTCAGCACATAGTAGAGTCCTGTGTAATCTTGGGAGGAACCGAGGAAGAAGAAGCCCTGGAATGACTGTAAAGTACAGGCAGCAAAGCCCATGAGTATGCATTGTACAGAGCTCTTCATGGAAGAAAGAAGAGAATTTAAGAAAATACACATCTGTCCACATTTAGGCAAAAGAAATACAGTGAAAGTCAACCAGAAACTAGAGAGTTTGATCACCTCTCCCCCTGGGATGGACAGAAGAGGGGAACAGGATGCAGGAGGAGGTGTGATATGTCTGTGGCTCTCAGAACTATGCCCTTATCACACTAAACCCACTAAAGTGACACTGGTCTGGTGTGGAAATATTAGTGATATCAGGCAAAGTAGAAGAAGATTTCTGCAACGGCACTGGCCCTGTGGATACGAAACCAAACTGCTTGTTTCTCTATAGTAGTTCTGATCACCTGCAATGTCTGTGAGCCTGTGCTGTGAGGACTTCCAGTGCCAGACCTTTCCTATCAGAAGACTCCTTTGTGACCCAGTTCCTTCCTGTCCAGAGCACGGTGCTTCCCCAGTGGTGTCTCCTTCCTTGCCCATGAAAACCTGATTTTCCTCCCCAGGTGAAACATGGCCTGTGTGCACTTTCCTAGCAAGTTAAGAATCTCAGCGTCAGTGTCTTTCTTTTGCTTCTGATGGTCTGTGATTCTTTGTCAACAGAGAAGTGAGATATTTAGATGACCCCATCTAGGCTTCTTCCTGAAGTTTCCTTCCTCTGTGTTTCGGCAAAATTGTGCAAATGCACAGATGAATAATTTGCATTTTGTCTTCCTCACTTTTCTCTGTGTCACCCTCAGCTGAAGAAGTGATAATGTACCAGGAGGTTGTCACAAGATGCCAGGAAGAGGGGCCAGCCTGGGCCCAGTTATCGACTGACAGTCTGACTGCAGTCACGGGCCCTTCCCTCCCCCATTGGCCTGGGGCATGCTGATGGTACTGGCCTCTCTCCTTTCAGGAATGACGATACCTGAAGAAGACGCTGATGTGGGACAAGGCAGTAAATATTGCCTGGTGGCCATTGGGAGACTCCAGGTGAGACAAAAGCGCAATCTTTTCCATCTCTGATGAGGCTTCCAACTGCAAGGAGCAAGAGACTAGGGATTGGGTGTCTGCTCAGCGCTCTGGTGCCCAGCGTTTGTGGGGTTTTGCGTCTCACTTGGGGTAAGGCTGAGGCCAAATGTGGAAGGAGAAGAAGGCAAGTTCCACAGAGTGCTCTGTTGGCCCACCTCTACCTCACTGATCACTGCAGCGAGCCCAGTCTTCATCTATCCCTGATTAACCCCTTGCATGTCCCCAGGACCCCGGTGGAGGCCCAAGGTCATCTTTCCAACCTCATGGCCTCCCTTCCTGTCCACACCACATCATGTTTCCAGACCATACCCTCCTTGCCATGCACCTGCCACCTGCCACCTGTCCCAATCCTGATCCCCGGGGTGCCCATGAGCTGGTTCTGCTACCTGCTGTGTCTGTGTCTGCCTTCACCTGGAAAATCTTCTCCTTGTTGTTCTTGCTCTGCAAGGACCCGCTCAAGTGACTTCCGGCCTCCTTGTCAGAGCCAGTTGCTCCCCTAGCCCAGCACCAAGCTGTGGCCACTGGGATCACCCTCCCGCAGTCTGTCTTGCTATAGTCAGCCGAGTGTATGCTCACCCTTCAGGGTGCTTGGGCAAGGAACATGTCCTTGCACCTTATGACAGTCAGACACGCTCAGTGTCTGACAAATGCAGGAACCACTGAGTCAGCTGGGTCATTCACAGTGGACGTAGACAAGAACAGTGACATTTCCTGTCCCTGGTTTCCAGACAGGTGAGCAGGTGGTTTCATTCATATCCAGCAAACACTGGGTGCTTTTGCTGGCACAAACTGTCTCCTTTCCAAAGGTTTAACTGTTTCTCTGGGCCCATTTGCCGTTCAGTAGAGGAAAAGGCAGCAGAGGGAAAGGCATCACCATCTATTGATCACCAGCTGTGCCAGACATGGCTCCAGGATTCCCAGACCACCTCTGTCCAGCCTCACCACCCTGTGAGGTTACAGTTGCCATTATCACACTGTCAGAGAAGGATGCAGAGGCTCAGACATGCAAGGAAAGTGACCCATCAAGCATGACGCTGTTTGTACCAGTGACATGGAAGGCTGTGTGGGGCAAAATCAACATCCCCCTCTGCCTCTGTCGGTGTCACCTCAGTTGGGCTGTCCCTGTGTCATTTCCCCTCTGCCTCTGTCGGTGCCACAGCCGGGCTGTCCTGTTGCAGGTGACCAGCTCCCCCGTGTGCATGGACATGAATGGGATGTCGGTGCCCACGGAGTTCCTGTCCCGGCACAACTCCGATGGAATCATCACATTCGTGGACCCGAGGTGCATCAGTGTGATCGGCTATCAGCCCCAGGTCAGGAGCCCGCTCTGAGCTTGTGCATTGGTGGAGACGTAGCTCTGCCTCAGACATGTTCATGTCCTTTGTTCAAGGTAGACATGGTGAGATTGGAAGAAGGAGGGACAACCGTGCGTCTTGCCTGGACAGGTTTATTGTAAACAGCAGCCCTGCTGAGGCTGACTCCTCTTTCTTCCCCTAGCATTCTGTTTCTCAGCTGATTTTTCAAACCAGAGTTCAGATCAGTCTGGATTATGAAGCTTATTAGCAGGAAAGCATCTGCAAAGCCTTGTACAGATGCCACCTAGTTTTGCTAATCCCTTCAGGAAGCCTTCATTACCTGGGGCACATTCGCAGGCCTTTGTTCTAGATTCCTTTTTAAAACACAGCAACATAAGAAACACAAGAAAGCAGGCGTAACATCCCAGGTCAGGACCAGAGAGACAGAGTAGCTCCGTACAGTGTGAAGTGTGCCCTGGCTCTGAAGGCATCCAGCTGGAAAAGAGGCTTGGGAGACAGCTTACAAATTAGCGTGTACAGAATATTGGGTGATTTTATGTTATTAACTTTTTAAGATATAGTATGGTATATTGAGGTTTTGCCAGATAATTTTTATGATACTTGCTGAAATACTTCGGGGAATGTGTGATGATGTCTGCAACTCAATGTGAAGTGTTCAGCAGGAAGTTGTTAAATATGAATTGTACACACGTCAGTGGATGTGTACATATATGAAGAAAATGGAAGAAATTGAAAAAGTGGCAAAATATTGACAGTGCTTGAGTCTAAAGGATAGTGTTTATTATACTATCCTTGTAACCTTTATATAGATTTCAATTTCTTTCAAAATAAGAATTTTGTTGTTGTTGATTTTGAGAGAGGGTCTCACTGTGTAGCCCAGGCTGGCCCCTGACTTTTGGTGAGCTTCTGAGTGCTGGGCTTACAGGCATTTACCACCACACCCAGGCAAAAATAATTTTTAAAAAAATCTGTCTTTGTTGTGAAGAACCAACTTTGGGATATGTATACTTTAATTACGTGTATATATTATTTTTTGATGACACTGGGGATGGATCACAGAGCTTTGTACATGCTGGGCAGGTGCTCTACCACTGAGCTATGCCACAGCCCTCATGTACATTTTAGAACTAGAAATAAGCCAAAGCAGAAATATTAGAACGCTTCGTATACTTCTGTATCTCTAGACTCATGAAAACTTTGAGATTCTTATATGTCATAAGGAGAAGTGATCTGTTTCCACTTGCACTGTAACCTCCAGTGGCACAGTTTCCAGACAAAGCCATTTATCTCCCGCTGCTCCTTTGGGCATCTGGGTATCCTGGACAAGCCCGTAAGACTTCCCACCACAGCTAGCTTAGCTCCCATGCAGACAGTGGGGCTCACATGGGTTCCGATCCAGCAGTCAGTTTACATCCTTTTAAGGAACTTCCAACCAGATTAGGTTCCTAGAACATGTATAAAGTTGCCTTTGTCTTTGATGGTTTACTTACTGTGCCCCACTTTGTGGGAAAATACGCTTTTGTCTGGGGGCAAGACTGGGTCCTATGAATGACACAGGCGTGTGAAGGTACAGAACAAGCCGGCTTCTAGAAGAATGGTGGTTTCACAGTAACCTCATTTCCTTGGCCACCAGACAGCTGTGGCTTCCCTATTGAAACAATTTCAGTTTTCACAGGCAGCACATCTGTCCACCTCTTGTTTACTTTTGATGTTTATTAAAATATGTTGACCACAGTTTGCCTCTCTAAGGCAAACAGAAATAAAATTGCACTCTGGAAGGTGCTGATCTAGTGCATTAGCAAAATTAGAAATTAATATGCAGTGTACCAGAGGCACTGAGAGTGAATTCGAGGAGGCTGGCTCTGTAGTGACAACCACTCTTTTAAAAAATCCGTGGTGAGGCAGATCGAAGGACAGTGAGTTAAAGGAGCTGGAATAAATGCTTTTGTCTATCAGTGGGTGGATAAATAATCAAACATGGAATTTGGAAGCTGGGCTCTGTGGCACACGTCTGTGACGCAGCTACGTGGAAGGCTGAGACAGAAGGATTGGAAGTTCAAGGAAGTCGGTGAAACCTTGTCTCAAAAAAATAAAGGGCTGGGGATGTACCTCTGTGGAAGAGTGCTCACTTAGCATGCATGAGAACTTGGGTTCAATCCTCAGTAGTGAAGAACAAGAAGAGAGAGGGGGGGAGGGAGGGAGGAATGAATTGATTTGGGATCATTAAAGCTTGCTCTTTTGTTTAGGACCTTCTGGGAAAGGACATTTTGGAATTCTGCCACCCAGAGGATCAGAGCCACCTGCGGGAGAGCTTTCAGCAGGTACTGTGAGGCCTGTGTACAGTGATACACAACTAGCACACATGTGGAGATGACCAGTGGGACATGCATCCTAATGTGTGCCGGACAGGCTATAAACGCCTGCCTGGAGTGTCAGCCAGGGCCCTTCTGGGAAGCACAGAGGCTAATGGGAAGATGGACCATGAGGAAGTCATTACTATTTGAGGAGAGAGCTCCAGGAGTCCTGAGGAAAAAACCATAGAGCAGAGAACACGAAGAGGCTGTGCATGGCCGGAGTGGCCCCAGGGAGGGGACAGTTGGGATCTAAGGGTGGATACACAGGAATTGAGAGGACACTTCAGTCTGTGGAGCAGCCCCAGAGACACAGCAGAATGTGGCCTGCAGGGTGGATGCTAGTGGCTAATCTATAGGGAAGACATGGCAGGCATTGACAGATGCCCAGGAAGTCAAGGGTGGGGGCCTTGTAGCCAGACTGAGGAGCTCCAGTTCTGTGAAGGCAGATTGGGCTTCCTGGAGGGCTGAGGCAGGGCAGGTACTGAGGAACAACTTGTTTCAACTGTGTGGAAGGGAAGACGTGGCAAGTAGCTGGAAGTGAAGACAAGTGGGATGCTCTTGCAGTTGTCCAGGCAAGAGGCAACGATGCGAAGTGGGGCCGGACCCCTGAGGACCAGCGCGGGCAGTGAGGAGAGGGGGCTTGTTAGTGCTGGCATGTTGGAAGGAGAGGGGAGGGAGGCATCAGTGTGCCCTTGAGGTCTTACACACAGGCCATCCTGACAATGATCCAGCATCTGCTCCTTACTGAACACCTGCTGTGGACGGGGTACACACAGGTGATGTGGATGGTTGCAGCAGCATAGGAGGTAGCTGCTGTTGTCGTCCTTTTCCAGCAAGTCAGGCCAGCGTGCCAGACAGGGCGCTTCCACCGTGCACAGACAGAGCATGCCCACCATCCATGGACAGGGCTTTCCCCGCCTCACAGGGACAGGGCACTCCTACTTTGGGCTGTGTTGAGCTGAGCTCCTGACTTCCTCTCCCAGCACATTCTGTGCTTTCCTCTGCAGCAGGACCACCCTGACTTTCTCTTCACTTCTCAGCCTCCCTGCAGGTCCCTTGTCCTCTGCCTCTTCTTCGGAGTGGTGATGTGGGAGCCCTGAGCTGCATTCTTCCCTCTCTTCTCCTCCCTCAGTTCTCTCCTCTGTCCCCCACTGCATCTCCCTGGGGCATCTTGAGCAGTGGCCGAACCCACCCAACTGTCCCGGCCCCACCCCTTCTCTGAGCAGGCCATCGCCTCAGTCTCCCCCAGGTCCCCCCCAACCTGTGGAAGGGAGTGCCTCCTCCTCAGCTCCCTTGCCCTCAGTGTCCCACCTGTCCTGGGAAATACCTGTCCCTTCTCAGCAACCCTGCTCCCCACATCCATCTCCTCTGCAGGTCCTGGGGGCCCCAGAGGATGCCCAGAACTGTGCCCTTCTCTGCCCTGTTCCCAGCCATGGGCTCTGGCCACCCCTTCCATGTGACCTTTACCGTCACTCCAGAGCTGCACCTCCTTTCAGTCCAAGCCCCTGAAACTGTAGCTGTCTAAGTTATTTTTCTTGTTGCTGAGACAAAATACCCAGCACCCAAGGTTAAGGGAGGAAAAGTTTATGTAGCTCACAGTTTGTAGTGATTTCAGTCCATAATCGGCTGGCTCCAACGTCCATAACTGGCTGGCTCCAACAGTTCACGGCAGGCAGAAGCTATCAAAGCAAGCAAGAGACCTGAACAGCATCTTTCTGCCCCCTTTATACTCTGATCTAAGCTACCTGTGCTAAGCCAGTCAGTGGACTGATTGAGTAATCACTCACCCTTAATCCCAGTGACACACACTCTGGATTCAGCCACCTCTGAAAAAGCCCCACCCAGGACTGCATGAGTCCTGTGTTCACTAGGCCGCACATCCCTGTGGGCAGATTCATGTCTGTGTGGTTATCTCATGTCCACCATTGAGTAACCCAGTCTGCACACAAGAATGCCCCTTTTTTTGTGCTACTGGAATTGAACCCAGGCCTCTGTGCCGAGCTACATCACAACTCCCCACCCTGTTTCTGAGACGGGATCTCAGCAAGTAGCTAAATTACCCAGATTAGGCTCAAACTTGCTACCCTCCTGCCTCAGCCTCCCAGAATGCTGGTAAAACAGGTGTGCACCACCATACCTGGATTAAGGGTGGCTTTTAATAAAACCTGAGTGGATCCACCCTGAGTGGATCCACCCTGAGTGGATCAGGTAGCTTTCATTTGAGAAAAATGTGGAATTAGCATGGTTAACACTGTGAGTGTGCTGTCGTGCAGCACATTTGTGAAGTGTGTGGAATGATGACACTTGGCCTGTTACCTGGAATGCTTGGGTTGGGTTTGGGTTCACTTAGTTTTTCTGAGCACGTGAAAATGGGTCTCTGACAGTGAGGGTCTTCATCTGCCCAGCAGCCAGCAAACCCTCTCTGCACATTACCTATAATGATCCTCAACTTCACCCAGCAAGTGTTGCTGTCCTCACCTCTCCCAGTGGACTTCAGTGTGGTTGCTGCCCTGAGTCCCATAGTGAGGTAGTAGCAGAGTTGGTGCTGGGGCCCAGGCCCACCTCCCTCCAAAGATCCCCCAACACCTCCACACCCCAAACACAGGCCTTTCCATCCAGTGCCACTTCTGATATTTAAGTCTTTGAAAACAAAAAGAAGGAATTTAACATCTACTGCCACCCTAGCAGCCAGTTTAAATCACTGGATCTGCCAGCAGCCACTTCATTTCTTGGGCAGGCGGGGAAGCGAGGCTGTGACACCCAAGAGCTGGTGTCCCAACACTGCTCCAGGGAGCAGGAGGCAGTGGCCAAGCAGCCCCAGGGATGTCCTGGAGCACGGCCAGCCTTGGTCTTGAGCTTGTGTTCCTTGGGCTCCAGCCACCAGGACGCAAGGTGGGGGACAAATGTTGATAAAGGGAAGTGGCTTGTTCTTGCAAAAGCACAGAGGGAGCTGTGTCAGCTAAGAACCCGCCTTGAACTCTAGATTTAAACAAAAGCATTCAATGGCCCAGACAGGAGAGCTGTAGCGCATGATGGAATTTGTGAGGAATTTGCGTTTGGCGCAGTGACAGTGCACAGACCCAGGGTCTGAGAAACTGGTGTGTGCTCTTAGATTCCCTCTCTGGGTCAGTTTACCAGGAGGTCAAATGGAACAGCTGAGCACAGGGAAACTTAGGCAGGCTCCATTCCCACCTTTTTCTTTCTGTTTAGATACTTTCCATGATGCCAATGATGATGGTGACGGTGATGGTGATGGTGATGCTGATGGTGATGGTGATGGTGTTGGTGGTGATGGTGGTGATGGTGATAATGTGATGATGGTGGTGATAGTGTTGATAATGGTGATGGTGGTGGTGGTGGTGATGGTGGTGGTGATGGTGTTAGTGGTGATGGTGGTGATGGTAATGATGGTGATGATGATGTTGATGATGGTGTTTGGTGATGATATGATGATGGTGGTGATGGTGGTGTTAGTGGTGATGGTGATGATGGTGATCATGGTGGCGATGGTGGTGTGATAGTGGTGATGGTGGCAGTGGTGATGGTGATGAAGATGCTGGTGGTGGTGATAGTGATAATGGTTATGGTGATGATAGTGATGATGGTGGTGATGATGGTTGATAACAAAGAGAGCTGTTTCCATTAAAGCCAAGCTCAGCTGGGGTTTATCCCTGACATTTGCGTCTCCCGTGTTATGAGCACCACATCTGACCTGAGCACAGTCTTCAGGCCTGGACCATGTTCCCCGTGCAGTGTCACAGGTACAGTCCAGTCCTCCGTCACATGTCAGCTTTTCCAGCCTACAGAATTTGCTTCTACTGTGCCTGCTACCAGGAGCACCCTCCTGGCGCACGTTCACTTGCCAACATTTGATGCATCCCCACCCATGACCAGATCCTCCCTCCAGGAACCCATTAAACTCCTTCCAGGCAGCCCCATGACATTGGTCTTGGTTTGTGTAGTGGGATATTTAGCAGGTGCTTTCTGGGTTACAGTTAGCTGCACATCTATCCCATCCCTGCTAGGTGAGAAGCACTTTGGGGACAGATTTTACCTGGGCAGTAGGGATTTATGGAAAGGGTGCTGAGGTGGTGTGTCTAGGAGCCAGCATTGTGAGACCCTGGGCAGCGTGTCTGCTTTGAAACCTTCTTTCCAGATACACAGACACAGTTATGAGGACTATGTGAAGTAACACATACAAGGTGTTTTACCCCTGCTGGCTGCAGGCCTCTCTTCTGTCTCCCCAGCCCTCAGGCCTGGCTTTGCATACAGACTGTGCTCTCCTTGTGCTTGGAGAGGGAGGTAAAAATCTAGGGTACACAGCACAAGGGGACATGGCTCCCCAGGTGTGGACAGCAGCTCCCTGTGCCCCTGTATTTGGTGCAGCTACAGAGGAGTCCCCAAGTGAGCCCTGCAGTGTGGGGTCCTCCAAGTCCCCACAGGCCCATAGCCTTGGCTTCTGGGCCCTGTGAGGGAAGAACTGCAGTCCTATTGGGGGGACAGACTCACAGCGTCCTCTGAGGCAGCACAAAAGGCTCCCCCCCTGGAGCTTTCATGGTTGCCCAGGCAGTGGGGTGGGAGCTTGATTCCCTGCGGCATCTACCCAGGCTGGCTCAGGATGTGTTCTAGGTGCCTGCTCTGTGCTGAGCTCTGGGCTGGGTAGGGCAGGCTCAGGTGACCCCATGGGTACACATTTGGGTAGAGATAATAGCCACCCGACAGGGAGCAAAGCACCAACACAGGCAGTGTTAGGAAAGGGAGAACTAGGCCTCCTGGCCCCAGGAACCAGGCCCCCATTTTTATCAGTGAGGGAGCTGAAAACTGTCAGACAGGAAGCCCAGAGATTATAGGCCTGACCGGGCCCAGGCTTCACAGGCCTGTGTGGAGCGTCGTGGTCACCTTCTCTTGTCCCGGTGCTGGGATCACACCGAGGCCTAGCCTGTCTACAGATGTTTTGGGTGCTCAGTCTACACTCAGATGCAGCTGTCTACATGTCTGCCTGTCTCTACTGTTTGTTGGCAGTGTCTGTGTCTAAACAGCAGAAGAGCAGGCTGTGTAGCCAGAGAGACAGGCTATGATTTAGAAGTAAGATCTTGGTTCCTGTACCAGCTTTTCCACCAAAGCTGTATGATCTTGGGCAACTTACTTAATTTCTCTGAGTCTCAGTCAGCATTGTCATCTGTAAAGCCCACCTCACCTAACCCTTGTGAGGATGTACATGAGTGAGGTAAAGCCCTTTAAAGCAAGTTGGAAACCCTACCCTAACACATAGGAGGCAGTACACATATACAAATAAATGATGCGTACGAATCTGTCATTTTATGGCCACTCCTCCAAGAGCATATTTGGAATCCATTTGGAGAATTTTTTATGTGAGGTATGAAGAAATAAGATCTCTGAGTATAATGTAGCTGCATGCTCAGGTGAGGTGATAATTCCAGAAGAGAGCAGCACCACTCCCAGAGTAACACAGCAGCCAAGGCAGAAGGGAAAACACAGCTCTTACAGAGTTCTCAGGTTCTGATTTTGAAAGCTAAAGTGAAAGTCCTGCTGTCCCAGGGCATTGCTAGCTGGTTTCTCACACAGTGGTGAGAGAGGCCCTGTTTCAGAAGGAAGTAGGGGACAGTCCTGTAGCTTAGCGAGCCTCCTTTCTTCCTCCTGTGCCCTCTCCTCTCTTGCTGTCTTGTCCCCGCAGCGCCCCTACTCTGAGGTCCCCTGGCCCTGCGGCACGGCCCTGCTGGGCACCACTCTCCCGTGACTTCCTTCCCCAAATGTTTTCTCAGGTGGTGAAGCTGAAGGGCCAAGTGCTGTCGGTCATGTATCGATTCCGCACCAAGAACCGGGAGTGGGTGCTGATCCGCACTAGCAGCTTCACCTTCCAGAACCCCTACTCCGACGAGATCGAGTACATCATCTGCACTAACACCAATGTCAAGTACGTCCCCCACCCCCCCGATCCACTTGTCCTTGGAATGTCCACAGCGGGTGATCTCTGCCCCAGGCCTCTGCCTGCAGCTGTAAGTCCTAGCCAGGACTGTGGAGCAAGAGTAGAGGCAGGGAGTGTATCCCTCCTGGTTTGGAAGAGCCTGTGGGGCTGAGTGTCTGGGCCCAGAGGCACCGCTGACCTTCCTGGTTGTTTCCCCCAAGCTCAGTGCCCTGCAGAACAGAGCTCTGTAGGGTGCACTTCTCTGCTTCCTGTGCCTGGTTTCTTGGTCCTGCTGCAGCCGGGGTGGAGGAACTGCGTTGGGCAGCTATGGGTGCGTCCATGGGTACTTAGTGCCCACAAGTGGCAGGGATCTGTGCTCTGGCTTGGCCGTGCACCTGCTAGCTGTGTGACTGAGTCAGCTGTGATCTCTCGTGGCCTTCACATCTAGTTCAGTGAAGCACAGATGTCCCTGCCTGTGAGGTCTCCCTCAGGGCAGTAGGGCCAGGCTCAGAGCTGTGGCTGGCTGTGCACGCAGTGTCAGCGTGGGGCATGACCAGGGCAGCCGTGCCTTCTCTCTACTGTCAGCCTCAGGGAAGTGCACACGGCCCGGATGCAGGATGGCGCTACCTTTGGCTTCCACCTTCTGGGTGGTTTGAACGTGGCGTACACTCTGCAGGAGCCACGCTTTCACATCCAGTGTACGGGGCTCAGCTGGGAGGCTGGTGGCCAAGGGTGTGGTTCAACTGTGGGGGGTTCACTGGGACACAACCGGCTGTGCATCACGGAGCAACTTTGTGCAGCCATGACACCAACAGGAAGACGTGTGGGCAAAAGGGCGTCCCTACTGACACTGCATGTGAGGCCCGCCAGGGTTGACAGACATGCTGAGAACTGTCCTCACGTCTCCTGCTGTGGTCAGTGGCACCACTTTCCTCCATTTCCCCGGGTTCCAAACCCAGTCTGGCCCTGTCTGTGGGCTGCCGCTCCCACTGCAGACCCACAGCACTGCCACTTTCTGTCCACTGCTGCCGCTTCCGAGCCCCTTGGATGCAGGCTCCCTGTCTGGGCCAGCAAAGCAGCTTCCCAGCCCAGGCAGCAGCAGCTCTACGTCCTCTGCCTCACCCAGCTCCTGGGCACAAGGCACAGGACAGGGGCCAGGTCCACACGACAGCCCTCTGAGAGCAGATGGTGTGGGTTCCAGTCCCAGCTCCCACCTAGGCAAGTTACCCCCTTCCTAGCTTCCATCGCCTCATCTGCTCAGTGGGGACAGCAGAACCTGCTCCCTGAGAACCCGAGGGTCTAAAGCAGGTCCTGGGCCGGTGCTGCCTATGCAGTGCCCAGGTTGAGCAGGAAAACCTCTCTGTGGACAGTAGAGGGCAGTGATGGCCACAGATGCGAGCAGGCCGTCCTCTGGAATTCGTGAAGCTTATCTTCCGCAGTGGCAGACTCGAGAGGGAGAAATCCTCTAGGAGCACACACCGGGGTGGGGATGTGCACACTCGGTCGTTGCACTCAGTCAGCACCCAAAGGATGCTTTCTGGAGACCCTGAGTGTCGCCTGGTTAGCATTTGTGTGAGGCTCCTGAAAAGACATCTTTCTCAACTCTGATTCTTTCGTGTTCCATCCATACAGAAAGGAGTCTAGGAAACACAAGTTTGCACATCTTGTTACTCCACCGGGTCTCAGGGCCTGGGGGTTGATACTCCTGGGGGTTGACACTGTTTCCTGAGACCTGTCATGAGCCGACTGTGAGGCTGATACCCTGGTGTTTTCGTACTCATTGCCTGGCTGCCACGAGGGCACCCAGACACATCTCTGCATGTCCTGGGGCCAAGCCCTCATTCCTGTGGTGATAGGTTTTCAGGAGCACAGTGCCTGTTGTGCAGGGGTGTGTGTGTGTGTGTGTGTGTGTGTGTGTGTGTGTGTGCCCATGCGCGCTTAAAGTCCCAGCAGCTGAGAGTCACATGTGAGTTTCTCTGAACCGGTTGACCATCACCATATTTGATGATGGCTGGTAATGGTTACTGGTTAGTAGTAAACGGGAGGCCGAGAGCAGGGCTGGGTACAAAGGAAGGGAAAGGAAGGGAAGGGAGATTTCTGGTCTCTGCAGAGTTTAGAGCCAGTAAAGAGTCAAGACACTTGGTCACCAAGCCTGAGTTATCCCAGGGCCCCATGTTCCACCCAGACACTAGCCTCCCTCCCCTACCCCATGCCCTCTCACAGGTGACCACTGGCCCGTGGCCGGCTCCCCTGCCTTCCTTCAGGCCCCATGTGCCAACTCACAAGTCCCAGGGAGCAAGCTCTGAAACACACACAGGCCATGTTGTTCCCTGCCCCATCCCACCAATCCCAAACCTTTCCCTGGCCCTGGGAAACACGGACAGCCCCTCTCCCTGAGCCTGCATGCACCAGCTGGGCTCTGGTTGCCTCTGATGATGTCCCTCTAAGAGATTTCGTGCTGCCTTTTGCAGGCTGAGTGAACACCTCTGTCCAGGAAGTGCTGGGGGTCATTGGCAGCCCCACTAGCCCCAGCACCTGGCTGGCAAGAAGTAGCGGGAAAGTTGCCTTCTGGCCCTGGCATGCTCCCCTAGGCAGCTCCCTCCTCTCTGAAATGTGCGAGCTCCCTGAGGTTTGCTTTCAGATGGGCTGAGGTGTCTGAGAAGCCCCGTCCCCATCTCAGGACGGAGAGGCCCGATGCAGTGCCTCTTCTACACATAATCAGCTGCAGGAGTGGAAGCACCTGGGGGCGGGGAGTGGCTCTGCTGATGTCTGCCCCACAGGGCCGGTGGGGTGGGGACTTGCCAGCAGCACCAAGACCTCATTTCCTCCTCCCCCGAAAGGCATCTCTCTCCCTGGCTTCAGGAGCCCAGAGAGGACCTGAACTGAGAGCAGATCCCAGCCGATTGCCAGTGCCTTTAGCCACCTTGTGCATTGAGAAGCACATGCACTTCCTCCCCATGGTGCTTAGCTGGGCGCAGGGAAAGTTTATGCTCTACTGACCCCTCAGCCCACCCTGCAGAGCACAGCTACGCAGCCCCACATTGCAGCCCTGCGTACTGCTGTGCTCCTGGGCCGGGTAGGAGGGGTTCCTGCTGCCTGGAATAATGCTGTGTTGGAGGTTGGGCTCCGGGGAAGGGGAAGAGGGTGTCTATGGACTCCTGCTGTAGGGAGAGGATCCCTGATTCATCCCACAGAAATCCAAGGTGCAGGCTTTTTTCTCCCACCTTACAGTCCAAGATGCTCTCTGGTTGCCCGCAGCTCTGGAGAGCGACATATGGAAGAGCAGTCCCCATCCCAGCTGTAGGTTTTAGCCAGGGCTAGGGCGGCAGTCTGGTCTGTAGCCAGATGGGCTTGGGTGTGAACCTGTGTGTACCATGTTCCAGCCCTGTCACCGGGGCTGTCATTTACACTCCTGGGCTCTACTTTATGGGCTAAGCTGGAATACTGCAGAAATGTGCCAGCCCACCAAAGCTCTGAGTATTTGCTTTCCATTCCAGTTTTTGTGGCCCCGCACGTGAACGTGATGTTACCCCCAGGTGCAGAGGAAAACAAAACCCTTAGTAAGAGTATGAAAACAGACAAAGTGATGGGTTTTTTTCTATTGATGATTAGTTTCTTTTTAAATGTCTTGGAATATCAGGTTTCTCTGAAACTTCACTTGTAGTGCTCCTTACTTGCTGGTGGAACAAACTGGACTTTCTGCCTGATGGAAAATTTAGAGCCAACTTATTCCTGTCCTTGCACCGTAGCACCCCCCAGCAGGGGAGGAGGCCAACTGCATGCCGGGGAGAACCTAGGTCTTAACTCTGCACCCAGCACTGTAGTCTCCGTCCTCTCCCCTGGAAGCCCAGCAGCTTGAGGCCTTCATGTGTTCTGAGTTGTTACTGTCCCTTGTGCCCAGTGTGGATGGAGCCTGGCGCAAACACTTCCTGTGATGCACTGTGGGTCGCTGAGTGGGTGACTATCTGGGTGGGGTCTCTCCTGGGCTGGTTAGAATTGATGGAGGCCTTCCGTTCCAGCCACCAGAGGCTCTGACTGGTAGGGTTTGCCGCCTCTTGGAAACAGCAGCCTGGCAGAGTGGAACCAGCGTCTGAGCAGATCCTGGTTTGGTCCCCTGAGAGTCACCCACCAACCCTGTTGGCCACTTCACTACCTCCAACTTCCACTCAGCGTTGGAGGTGGCTTGAATGACTACCAAGGATGTGCAGTGTGAAGCCATCTGAATGCCTGTTAGTTATGAGTGAGCCTTAGCTGAAGGCAGCTCCTTTGTTCAGCATTAAATCTAACTGCTTTTCTGAGTTTCACCTTACAAGGAATTCTTTATAGTGTGGTATCTTTGAACTCCACATAACATGAAATCATACATCAAAACTTAAAGTAGTTCAGTGTGGTCATCTCAAGTTGAACCAAAAGGATCTGAGGCAGTAAAAATAAGATAATTAGAGGGGAAACCATTTGGGAGATCTGTTGGGTATCACCCACTGTGACTTGGGGGCTGGTGCCTAGCTCAGGCGTCTCTCTGCCTCCTCACACCTCTGTCTGCTTCTGCTTCACAGGCAGCTGCAGCAGCAGCAGGCAGAGCTGGAGGTGCACCAGAGAGACGGGCTGTCCTCCTATGACTTGTCTCAGGTGAGCTTCTGAAACACTGTTCTGCCTGGAGCTGTCTCTTGCCTGGAGCTTGTACACCCCGCTTCCCCCTGCGGTGCACAGAGCATTGGGTCCCCAGGGCTTTTGGGCACGTCACACGCCCTGCTGAGCCTCTAGGACTCACATCCTCAGAGGCCAAGACAAGCAGGTACTGCCTGTGCCACCCACCTTGGGTCCTGCGTCCCTTTCTTCTCAGGTGCCCCTTGCAGTCACACTGTGTGTGCCCCACTGCCTACGTTGTCTCCCCTGTCCTCCTCCCTTCATTCTCCCTTCTCTCTCTCTCTCTCTCTCTCTCTCTCTCTCTCTCTCTCTCTCTCTCTCTCTCTCTCTCTCTCTCTCTGTCTCTCTCTCTCTGTGTTCCCAGCTTCCGAAACTGGTTTAACAGAAAAACTGGCACTAATCAGTACTTGACAACTTTTTCCTGAGTTACACTTTCCATTCCCTGTTTCTGATATTTAGAGTAAGTTGACTCTTTTCTATTCATCTCTCTCTAGGAAAAGTAACTAGTATCATTCCCGTCTTCCTTTGGCAAGTGCACACCTCAGCCTGGCTGTGCCTGCACTCAGAGACAGCAGAGCTCCCACTGTGTGAAAGCACTCTGGCTGGAAGGCTGGCAGTTCCAGGGCGAGGGCACTGCCAGAGGAAAGTGGCAACCGCCTCACACGCCGGTGGTGTTCTTTAAATGTGCCAACAGGTCCCAGTCCCCAACCTACCTGCTGGTGTTCATGAGGCTGGGAAGTCGGTGGAAAAGGCAGATGCAATCTTCTCCCAGGAGAGAGACCCCCGGTTTGCTGAGATGTTTGCAGGAATCAGTACGTGTGAGTTTCCGAGTGGCTCAGGTCGTTGGGGTGTGGGGTTTACAGTTGCTGTCCAGGAGAGTGCCATCCTTCGGCCCTCCCCCATCCCACCCGGGAATGGGAGTTGTGAGCAACCCCTGCAGGGAGCAGGAAGAGTCCAGGGGCAGGAGGTCTCACACACGGGAGGTGGAATGGATTCTCCACAGTTCTGACCACATCTTCTACTTCCTGATTACTTGGGGCGCTGGCAGCTCATCTTTGAAATTTGAGGGATTGGGATAAATTAACTACTAATCCACTACTGGCATAGATTTATTATTAAGCCAAAGATGTGTCTCTATTAAAAAAAAACAAAACACTTTAATTTAATCCATAACAAAGGACTACATTTTATTTATTTATTTATTTATTTTTATTTTTATTTTTTTTGTTTTTTCTCCGGTACTGGGAACCGAACTCATGACCTTGCGCTTGCCAGGCAGGCGCTTTTGCCGCTGAGCTAAATTCCCAGCCCCCCAAAGGACTACATTTTAAAATTAAAATATGAAGTACAAAAGAAAAACAACATTGATCCACTCTCCTACCACCTGGATATAGTTATTTTTAACTTTTTAAAATGTGTCTGTCTTTTTCTATATGTTTTCTTTGTATATATAAAATTGAGCTCGTCCTGTTGAAAAGCTTGCTTTTTTATGTGATAGTTTATTACGAAAGTATCTCCAGAAAATTCAACAGTCCTAAGCGTTTTTGTTACCAGCATAGAGTTCCACTGTGTGGATGACCATAACTCGCTCAGCAGCTCCTCGGCAGCTCGTTTGTGGCTGTAGTTAGATTGTCCACTGCCTCAGTATTAGATTGTCCAGTGCATCAGTATTACTGCAGAGGACTGGTGCCACCACGTGGAGCTGCCTCAGTCTCCCACCCAGAGCTCCATAGAGTTTGGCAAAATATAAAACATAGAAAGGTCTTTGTCAGTTCCAAAGTCAGAAAAAAATTCCATGGGCACATGATCAAGGCATTTCTGTGAGATGCTTTCTTCGGCAAGGCCAGCTGAAGGGAGAAAAGGAAGCACAAGCTGTGATTGGAGGGGACTCTGGTCATCCTCCCTGGACGAAGGCTTGAGGTGGCTGGGGTGAGGGAGGACACCTGGGCCACTGGGCAGTGGAGGGGCGTGGCCTGGACACACCTCTCCTCAAGGGCGCTCACTGGTGGGAGAGCAGAGCCTGCCTCCCGTGTGGCTGGGAAGCAAGGCTCAGGAAGCAAGGGCAGTGCCAGTGCCACCTCTCTGAGGACAGCAAGGGCCAGCACAGCACAGGCCACTAGAAACAGGAAGCAGAGCCCTCAACACGCCAGGGACTCTCACTGCCACTGGTCCCTGGCCACCCAAAGGTGCCAGTGTGTCATCTCTGCAGCAAGAGGAGACAGGAGCACACCTGACACGTCTGTCCTGCCTGCGGTAAGCCACGGCATCTCCGAGAACCCATCTGAAGTTTTAATCTTATACACACGTAGACATCTTCCCACAACAATGACAAAACAGAAAGAAAAGAAGAAGGAAGGGGGTACGGAGTCCAACGAGAGCAATCAGGTGAATATCCTCCTTTGAGAATGAGTTTTTATAATAAAGAGGAGAAAGTTCAGAAAATCTCCAGCATCCCTCCTCCAGGAGGGAAATATCGCGTCCTGAGGACGCATCACCCGAGGAGGAGTTGGGATGAGAAGCAGACTGATACCATATTACAGAAATCCAAGTCTGCAAATTAGGAAAAACCACAAGTTTTCCCCCACATGGAAAACTTGGGCCTTCCAACTGCAAGAGCTCCATGAATATGTGACTAAAAATGGTAAAGAAACTCACACCTCGACACAGTCTATTGTATTATTCACTTTTTAAAAGCTTGATTCAAATAATGAAAATCTTGCAAACATCCACAAAGGGAAATCTCCAGTTAGACTTCTTTGGGATGCTAAGTGTGCCCAGAGAACTGAGAAGGAAGAAGTACAACCCCAAATTTTTCCACCAGCCAAACTGCTTTCCTAGACAGAAAGACTCTTTAGACTTGTACTGTCTACCCATCCTGTCTGAAAGCATCAGTTGTAAAAGATCTCACTTGCTTCTGTGTGAATCAAGATGTATGGCACAGGATGGTGGTGTTAGGTGTGGAGGCAGGGGTGATGAGAAAAGTTAACAGCACCTGGAGTTGTTAGATGATGCTGAGATAAACAACAAAGACTGCAGCTTCAAGTCAGTTCAGCAAAGATCCAGGTACTTTTGGATTGGGGCTAGTAAACAGATAAAAGTTTCTCGTTGGTATGTGTTATCTCTGGCATTTATGGAGAAATTTCAGAACTTCATGTATATTTATACACAACTGTTAGGGACAATATTTTTTAAAAGAGGGATGCAGGGAGAAAGGAAAGAAAGAAGCCTTAGGTCCAAACTACTTCTAAATAAACTTTTAGCAAATTGTAAAATTCTCAGAAGGAAAATAGAGTGAGATAGCGAGAAAGTATGGCGATCAAGCCGGATGAAGTAAGATGATGCCTGAGGACTGCTGATTGGCTGCTCCTGCAGAGCGTGCTCTCAGGTGCAGCGGAGCCAGCGAAACAGAACTGGGCTGCAGAGATGCTCTGCGAACCCGGGGAGGAAGGAAGGAGTCTTCACAGCATGTCGTGGGCAAAGAGGCTGGGCCATGCAGGTAGAAGAAGCAACCTAAGATGAGGATATAAATACTGTGAACTTTGGAACATAGGAAAGCCAAAATTGTTACAGACACAGGAAGACACTGATAAAACTAAACTGTAGTGGAGGATCTCTGCGTGCCTTTCTTCATCTGTTCAAAGCAGGTAGATCAAAATAATAAAGATAAAAAGATTGAATAATATAGTCAAAGATACATACACACGTATATACAAAGATGCACACATAATCTTGTGTGCACCTGACTAATGACTAATGTTCTAGAGTAGTTAGAAAAACAATGTTTGTTATTTATCCAAACTAACAAGAATCTTAGAAAAAAAAGAAGGGGCTTGCCTTTAGTGCATAGACAGCCAAGGTCCTAAGTCGACCTTCTGCCTGCAGGTTTTAGCCTTGTCTGTCCTCTTCTGCTCTTGCTCCTTAACCCAAAGCTGAAGGCCTGGGGCTGTGTAGCGGCGCAGGCCCTGGAGCCTGGGCACCTCTGTCCCTAAGGACTTGCACTGCTTCACAGTGTCATGGAGCAAAGGCAGGGGCCGGGAAGCAGCTCCATGGCTGCTCCGCACTGAGCTGTCCAGGAGGCTGTGCACATGGGGGAGCCTGACTCAGGCTCCGAGCCTGAGCACCCACCACTGCCCCACTGCTGCAGCACCCTGAGACAGCCGGCACATGTGGGCCAGAGCTGGAGGCAGAGTGTCCTGCAGCAGGTCCTTACGTCCTGCCTCCAGTTTCCTGCTGCCGGTAGGGGTGGTGGGGATTAAGGTGGTGGGGATTCCTGCTGCAGGCAGGGATGGTGGGGATTAGTGTTCCGAGATTGGGGGGGGAGGGGAGATGTATCCCTGAGCCTGGGCAGACGGGGAGCAGGGACGTGTTGTAGTGAAGGGCTGCCTTCTGGCCTGTGCCTGTCCTCGTTCCTGTGCATGCTCCTCACTGGGCCATGAGCGACATTAGATGCTCTTGGCTCTGTTACCACACTCAGTTCTAAGCACTCAACTCTGTTCACACTGGGTTCCCACCACAGCTCTGTGGGGAAAAGACTCTGATTACTGCCTTCTCTCAGGTGAGGAAACTGGCAGCAGGTTAAAAGCATATCCATGGCGTGGGGTACCTTCATCTGCAGGGCAGATTGTGGTCCAGAGCAGGGCTGAGGGTTATCCTGGGTGCTGTGGACCACTGCCCTACGCATCCTTACCTGTCCATCTATACCTGCTGTCCACACCCCTGGCTGGAAAGGGGCCATGAAGTGAGGTCCCTTCACGGTCTCTGACTTTTCCAGCTCTCTCAGAGGCTGGGCTTGCAGGTGGCTGTGGCCATCCCAGGAGGCAGGAGCAGCAGCCTGGGGGTCCCTCCTGTACCTCATACCCCGCCTGGACCTGTGCTGGGCGGGCCTCCCATGCCCTGCCGCAGGGGCCCTGATGTGTGACGCTCACTATGATTTCCCTAGCGGAGAAGAAGATGATGAGCTCTGCCTCGGCAGCAGGAGCCCAGCAGATCTATTCCCAGGGAAGCCCGTTCCCTCCTGGACACTCTGGAAAGGCCTTCAGGTACTGTGTGTGTGTGTTGGGGTGGGGTCAAGATAGATGTAGGTCTCAGAACTCCACTCTGCAGACTGCACATGCCAGGCAGTGGTTCTTGTTCTGTAGCCCCAGGCCAGGCCAAGGGTCCTGGAGTGCTGGCTCTGCCCAGCTGGGGAGAAGGAAGGGGCTGGTTTCCAGCCATGAGAGCAGAGTGCTGGGGACAGCTGGGAAGGTGTGAGGAATCACCTCATTCCCAGGCTTTTAGGGTCAGTGGATGGGTAGAGAAATGCCTGATAGGGCTAAAGTCTGCCAAATGGGTGGAATCTGTAAATGTAAAGGGCCTAAGCTGGTTCAGGATCAGGAGGGGCATGGCATGGTGGGTTCTAGTGCCTGTCTCAATCATGGGTAACCTGGGCCCATAGCAAAATGGCACTACTAGCGTCTGTAAGTGTGTCTTCACCCCGAGACCTTCTGCTGTGGTCCCGTAGGCCAGTCTGTGCCATACAGCCTTGGGGACCTGACGGGCTGGGCACATGGACTAGTACTTTGGCCCATGAAGTCCAGGGCCTCATCAGTCAGTGTCCTGGGGAGAGCCCCAAGGACCCTGGGGTGCCCAAGCCCCCATGTGGAACAGAAATCAGAAAAGGCCCTCTGAGGTCTGCATTCATCTGGAGCGGGGAGGGAGCCCTGTATTGAGTGAAGACTTGATTTTTGGAAGGTGAGAATGTTGTTTCTCATTACGTTAGCAATTAAACCTATTCTGCGATTTTAAGAAGGAATCAGATAACATAGAGAAATGTTAAAACACAGTAGAATTGTACCCAATGATCTGCATGACTCTGTCACCTGCCTCCCTTTCAAAACCTGGCTGAACACCCACCTGCGTTAAGGTCTGCTGGGACTGGGTCCTCACACCCCACTGGGTTTTTGCTCAGCACTCAGCTTCTGGCCCTATACCCTGGGCCAGTCCCAGGGAGGCAGGAGGAAGGGCCTGAGAGGACGTGGAGGTCTTCATCTTTCCATCTTTGGTGAGCTGAGGGTGCCATCCACAGAGCTGAGAAATCTGGAGGAGGCACCAGCAGTGTAGACACATGGCCGGGACCAAGATTGGACCTGCGTAGGCCATGCAGAGAGTGCTGCATAGGGTGCCACACATGGCACGCCACACACTGCACGTGCCTGGTGAAGACTTGCTGTGCTACATGGACCTGAGGCAGAGAGGGCAACACTGGTGCACACTAGGGAGTCGTGTCAAGAAGAAGGGATGGGCTGAGTAGAGGAGAGGCCACGGGACCCAGAAGGAAGCTGAGCACACAGACTAGTCGTGGCAGGACTGCCGGGCAGGGCCAGGGCAGCCGCTGGTGAGAGTGTGGCTGGGGACACAGGCTCCAGGCTCCCCTGTGTAGACGCACTGACCTCTCTTCTAGCTCTTCAGTGGTTCATGTGCCTGGGGTGAACGACATTCAGTCCTCCTCATCGACGGGCCAGAACATGTCCCAGATCTCCCGGCAGCTAAGCCAGAGTCAGGCTGCATGGACAGGGAGCCGTCCGCCCTTCCCGGGACAGGTATGGTCCGGGGTCCTAGAACCCAGAGCACTTTGGTGTGCTTCCTTGGGCCCCAGCTCTGTGGGAACTGACTACCTAAAGCAGCACCCACTCCAAGGGTGCTGAGAGCTGAGACCTGGTACTGGCACCATCTGTGGCACTGGCAACCTCATCACCTGGGGGAGCCAGCAGGATGTGGGCAGGCCAGGACGTACCTGACACGATACACCCCAGGCTCTTCGCAGTCTTTGGGAGGGAGGAGGGGCGTCAATGAGCCAGGGAGCATGTGGTGTTCACCAGTGGAGCCAGGAAACCCAGGTGACTGGCCAGACTCACCCTCAGTGTCCAGGGCCTGTGCCCGGCCAGCCCTGAGAGCCATGGGAACCCCAGCTGATCCAGAGCAGGCCCTGCCACTGTCTGGGGCACCTGTAGGGCAGTGACCAGGGACAGCAGGAGGAGGTGACTGGAGATGTCTCAATCTGATGGCTACAAATCCCTTCTCAGTCCAGTAAGACCCAGTCATCTCCCTTTGGAATTGGAACGAGCCACACCTACCCGGCAGACCCGGCTTCCTACAGTCCTCTCTCCAGCCCGGCCACCTCCTCGCCGAGTGGCAACGCCTACTCCAGTCTTGCCAACAGGACTCCAGGGTTCGGTAGGTGGGGAGAGAGGGAGGGAAGCATCCCTGGGAGAGCCGCAAAAATGCTTTCTGGCATCCTGACTAGGGGCAGTCTGCATTCCCAGAGTACCGGGACAGGGTCCTGAGTTTCTGGGCACCTCTTCTGTCTTTGGCCACGAAGAGGAGGTGCATGGTGCCCCCAAGATGCTGGGTGCCTAGACTTGGCCCTGTCATTGGGCTTATCATTTTCAAGGCCTGAGGACTATGTTCCGTGTTCTGGTGGCACCTAACTGCTGTTGTCCCCCTTTGTGTCTCTTGCAAGGACTTTGAGGTCCCTAAGTCAGAACCCTGTAGGCTTGTTTCAGGGACTAGTACATGCAGAGATGAGCAACTATGTCAGTAACACCCTAAAGCTCTTTACTCAGTATTGCAAGGGAGGGATCACATCGCATAGGAGAACAGCTTTGTAACGAAACCTCAGGCTATAGAGGTCCCAATACCCTCCCCTCCCGGGCATGTCTCGGGTCAGCATCTATCCCTGGGCCAGCGTTCCGTGCCACAGAAGGGGGTCACAGTGCTGTCACTGATGACACCCAGCTGGGAGTCATGACACTGAGCCCGGACATCTGAATTCCACTTGGCAAGTCGCAAGCTTCAGCTCAAGTGCTTCTCTGTCTGTCTTACCTCCGCCCTCCCTTGCCGCTGGCTGCACTTCTGCCCTCATCCAGGGCCTGGGATCAGGACTTCCTGTCACCTGTTCACCCCAGGATCTGCTGTCCTCTTGCACCAGCCCCCGTGGGGGGGGCAAGTGCTGTGTGCAGTCTGTGTGTCCTTGCTGTGTGGCTCAGTGATGCTGAGGTGAGAACCCTGGTGCATGGCGGGAAGGAAGAGGCCTCTACTCAGCACTCGGGTCACACTGTCCAAGGCCGAGGTCTCGTCCTCCCCCACCCACTGTCACACATGAGAACACACCCCGTGTCTGACCCTTGCATGGGTGGGGAGCCCCCTTGGCTTCCTCCTGAGGTGGTCTTCAAAGGCTCCGGTGCCGTGGGTGCCTGGGCCGTCCTGGAAGCCATGGGCACCTGCTGGCACTGACTTACTCCGACTCGGCAAGGCCTGCGTGCAAGCTGGGCCCTGTGTGGAAGCAGGGAGGGCAGGGGCGCAGTGCACACCCAGAGGCGAGCACCAGCAGGTCAAGGAGGCCAGCCTGGTCACGAGTCCCTCTTACGTGCCTTGGAGCCTCTTGTTCTAGCTGTAGGCATGGTGGCCAGGCTGCTCCTGCCCCAACCATTTCAGTTCATTTTATGCTGTCATGGCCCTAAGAGAGGAGCACCATTATCATTCTCATTTCACAGGTAAATAAACTGAGGTACCAGGCTTCATAGAGTAGAGTCATGCATGGGGAGCCAAGCAGGGATCCCAGGATCATCAGGGGCTGCACCCAGCACTGCCTGGTCCTTCCGGTCACTTTCCAGCCAACGGGGGCTCAGAACTGACAGAGCCTTCATCTGCATTATGAGGAGAGGGCTGGGGCCCTGCGGGGAGGCCTGGGGACGGGGCAGTGTGCTGTGGCCTCACACTGTGCCTCATGTGGGAACCCGATGGAAGTAGTGTGAGGGACGGACCCAGGCATGGGAGCCAGACTGAGCGGAACCATGCAGCTGTGGAGTGGTTGACAGGGTGTCCTTCATATGGCTGACCTGTCCTCTGATAGGGGGATGCTGGTGGGTCGAGGAAGGCACAGACTCCATACCGGGCAGATGGGGGTGCTGGAGAGGAGGCTGCTGGGTAGGGTCAGCCAGCTCCACAGGGTGTTGGGAAGTGGGTACTGGGAAGGGTGCGGGGAGAAGTGACCCAGGGGCCAGGGTCTAGCAGGGAGCTGCAGGGTAAGAGGCACCAAGCAGGCACCACTGAACATCATTCCATGAAGGTTGAATTAGGTTTTAAAACAGTAGTGTATATATTGGCAGTGGGCGTGGGCCCTCACCCTACATATGCCAGGGCTGTTGAGGTGCAGCTGGGCTCCCAAATGTGACAGCACCCCAGGGGACATGACCCCAGCTGGTCACCCTTGCCAGGCCCTTGAGCCCGGAGACGCATCAACCAGTCCTGGCCCCGTGCTCTGGCTGATCGGGCAGGATTCGTCTGTCAGGGCAGCCTTGCCACATGTTACCAGTGACAGCCCTGGGGTGACATCGTGGAGCAGTGAGCATAGATGTCACTTTGGGCCAGTACTTCAGCAGCAGCCTGTGAGTTCACACGCTGAGGATGGAAAGGACCACGCCTGAGCTTGAGCCTCCTGTGCCCTGTGCGCTGGTTTTCACCTGAGCATTTCCTCCACTCGATCTGCTGAGGTCCTAAGCCAGCCAGTGTCACAGCCATAGCCTCACTTTCATTTTGACTCGGGTCACAGCAAACACTGGCTCATGTGAAGAGTGGCATCCAGAAGCGGAAGTAGGAAATTACAGGACCATGCCCCTGCTGGTCTGGTGAGCTCGGGTGTTTATCTTCATGACAATGCAGGGGGACAGGGTGTGCCTGCCAGGCTGCATCACGAGACAGGAACCACCCCAGTGACTTGAAGGGGGAAGTTTAATAAGAGCTGGTAAAAAGGAGCCTTAGGAATACGGGAAGAGCCAACATGAGCGGCAGCTTCCAGGCCTAAAGCAGAAGGCAAGTGAGTACACAAGAACGGAAGTAAGACCTTGTAAGAAGAGACCAAGGCCTGCAAAGCCCTGGATTGGGAAGGCTCAACTGCCACCGGGGCACAGGACTGATTGGCAGCATGCCGAGGCATCCGTGGCTGACCTCAGGGGCGCCTGCCCACTGGCTGAGCTGAGCTCTAGAGGGTGCAGGTGACCAGAGCCTGTAGACATCACTCACCGGACCGCCCAGAGTCACCCATAGGTGGAAGGACAGTGCCTGTGGTGGACTGGTTCACAGGAGGCAGCTCTCTGGTGGCAGAGAAACAGGGTGAAGAGTGAGCCCCCTGGAGCACTTGCCCATGCTGCTAAAAAGAAAAGCCGCCTGGAGGAGAAGCTGCCTCCGCTGTGGTGCCAGCCTATCTCTCCAGCACCCTCCATTGGCTGCACCTAATATTGCAAAAGATGGCACAGGAGATATGTTTACAGTAGGGATCCCCAGCCCCAGGGCCATGGACGAGAATCAGTCTGTGGCCTGTTAGGAGCCAGCACGAACAGCAGGAGGTGAATGGTGATCCAGTGAGTGAACGTTCGTCTATATTTACAGCCATTCACTGTTGCTCACATTAGCACCTGAGCTCCACTTTTCATCAGATCAGAGGAGGCATTAGATTCTCACAGAAGCTTGACGCCTCCTGTGGAGTGCACATGCAAGGGGTCTAGATGTGTGCTCCGTATGAGGATCCAACGCTTGATGGTCTGAGGTGGAGCTGAGGTGGTGATGCTAGTGCTGGGGAGCAGCCGCAAATCCCGATGAAGGTTAGCAGAGGTCTGGCTTCACAGAGACCGTAATAAACCAGTTGCTTGCAGACTCATCACAACCCTTCCAGTAAGTGGAAAGTGACAATTGAGCTGCCTCTGCTGGCAGGCTGTAGGGTGGCAAGTGAGTTGACGTGCTTCAGTTGTACAGCTGCTTCTCAAGGCAGGCTTGATGTCAGAATCCGCACACACTTGGTCCATGCAAAACCTGACCATGATTTTATGTACCACTTTCATCAGAGCTTCTTTCCTGAACTTTGCACTTGTATTAGTCACAGTTTCGATAAGGCCACAAGCTAGCCCTAGCCCAAATGAGTAAAAAATAGGCAGCCCTGGGGAGTTTCTTTGAAAGGAAGGAAAGACACAATGATGAGAAAGCAGAAGACTCTGAGGCTACCGACAACAACAAAAAAGCTGCATTTAAAAGGAAATACCAAGAATCCAGTTTAAATATGGGTTTGCTGCAGTAGGTAGCTCACATTCTCCAAGCCTGCTTTGTGTAATATGTGGTGACTGGCTGTCTGATGAAGCCACAAAAACTTTAAAGCTGCTTCTCCACAAGCAGACCAACACACTGCACTAACAGACAACTCTTAAAGTTTTTTGAAAGAAAATAAATGTGAGCATGAGGAACAGAGGGTTATTGAAGGCCACCACTTCATCAAATGTGTCTGCACTGAGAGCATTATAGCAGCTAACAGCATCGCTAAAGCTAAGAAACTCATCACTGTTGGTGAAGAGGTGATCCTACCTGCTGCTGAGGACATTTGTCATGAACTTTAGGACAGGCTGCAGTTCAAAGGTGGTACATGTTTCTCTTTTGGCCAGCACCATAACCGGACAATTTGATGAGACAGCAGAAGATCTTGAGGCACAGTTGTTAGAAAGGATTAATAGTTACTGTGGTATGAATTCTAGGTTGATGAATCTACCAGGTTAAATCCTTAATGACAAAGAAACGACGCTTCTTTTTGTGCAGTATACTTTTCACGAGGAGGTATATAGGGATGTGTTGTGTGTGCTTTCATTGCCACCAACACCATAGCTGCAGAGCTAGTCGTGTCTTTGAATGATTACATACCAGGAAAAGTGCATTGACCATTTCGTGTTGGTAAATGTATGGAAGAAGCAGCTGCCATGACTGGACAGCTTTCTGGTTTCACTACTCAGGTCAAAGAGGTTGCTTCGGGTCGCCAGGTGTGGTGGTGCATGCCTGAATCACAGCACTCAGGAGGCTGAGCCAGGAGGATCGCCTTGAGTTCAAGGCCAACCTGGATTACATAATCGAGTTCAAGGCTAGCCTGCATTACATTGTGAGATCCTGTCTCAAAAAGAAAAAAAAGGAGGTTGCTTCTGAATATGAGTCAATATGCTGTGTTATCCATAGAGAAAGGCTGGCTACCTGAAAAATGTCATCTGAATTCTACAATGTTTTGGAGGGGGTGATTGAAACTATCAACATGTTCATAAAGTGCATGCTGTTAACATCTGTTCGTGCAACTCTGTGAGGAGATGGATACGGAGCACACCTTGCTCCCTTGTATGCAGTGGCTTTGCAAAGGTAGATCACTGGCTATGGTTCCTGAATTAGGAGAGCCACTCTGGAGATTTCTTGTAGAAAAAAAGTCACCACTTGTGACTCAGTGAGATAAAATGGACTTAGTCACATGACATATTCAACCTGCTCAAGGAAGTCAGTCTGTCACTTCAGAGGAGAATGAAACTGTGTTCAAGGCAGCTGTAAAGTGGCCGCATTCAAAGCCAGACTGGAATTGTGAGTATGATGAGTGAACCTTAGGATTTTGACGTTTCAGACATTAGCAGAGATTTTGAAAGATACTGAACCAGCTCCTTCTTTCTCCAGTAAGCCAGGTGGATTGGCTTTGTTCATGCTGGAAGAGGATCGGCTGCTTGAGATAAAAAATGAATGTGTCCTTAAAAGTATGTTTGCGATAACTTCAAACCTCCATGGATTTTGGACTAAATCCAAGGAAGAGTATCCTGAGATTGCCACAGAATCACTGCAAAGTTTGCTTCCATTTCTAACATCGTATCTTTGTGAAGCAGAGTTTTCTGCAGTGACGGCAACCAGAATGAGCTTAGACTAGACATCAGCGGCACACCTCAGGTGTCACTGCATACCGTCACCCCCAGATGAAGGCATCTAGTTGCTGGAAAACAAGCTCAGGGCTTTCACTGACCCTGCATTATGGTTGAGTTGCATAATTATTTTATTATATATTACAGTGCAATCATAATAGAAATACATGGAGTGTGCTTGAATCATCCCCAAACAACCTCACCCCATCATGGAAAAATCATCTTCCATCAAAATGGTCCCTGGTGTTAGAAAGGTTTGCAACCACTGGTTTGCAAGATCACAGCACAAGCAAGGGAGGGGGGATTTAGCTGTGCAGCAGTAAACTGGTAGCTAGCAAGGGTGCATTTGGTCTGCATCCCCAACTGTCGGCCTCTCTGTCTGATCTGTTCTTTGATGTCACATTTCTTATAGAAATGCAGGGAACCAAAAACAAAGGTCTGGGACACAGAAGTGGCTCCAAGGTGTGGCAGAGGCCAGGTTCATTCCTGACTTGCTGTAAAGTAGTACAGTGCTTTCTTAGCAGTGTGCGTGCTTCCAGATACCAGCAAGTGCAGACGTGTCCATGCCTTCCTATTCTTGCCCTTCAGTTCAGGATGAGGTAGCTAAAGCAGCTCATTCATGCATGACACAAATCAAGTCATGTCACAGCACATGAACTGAACGAGCAAGAAACATCCGTGACAAGGCCCTTTCTTAGAGAGTCACACCCATCTGGCCTGCCCCACCGGGCCAGACTGACTTCAGAGAAGGAAATGGAAGGAATTCTCTCAATGAGAATTAGGATGCATAATTAGAGAGGAACAGGGGAGGACGAGCTTAGGGAGGAGAGGACAGGATCTGATAGTCTGAAACATTTGCAGGTGAGACCTCTATCCCTGCTGGTTAGGGCTGGGAAGGTAAGTCTAGCCAGGAAACAGCCTCAGTTTTACTCAAGAGCCATACCCCAAGGAGCCCAGCTCACTCAACTACACACATAACCTTTGGATTTCAGAGACCACCGGCCTCCTTCCAGAAGGAAACCTGTGTATGCATCACTGCCCAACCATATTTGTCAGCACTGCAGGTCACCAGGAGGTCATTCTGAAGGTCATGCTCATTATCTCATCAGAGACATCGCTGATCTAGTTCAGATACAGCCTTTCAGTGCCTGCTGCTGGGGCTGGTTCTGCAGCAGAAGCCTGTGGGCACAGTGGGGTTAGGTCTCAGGCTGCAGCAGGGGACGGTGCACCCTCCTGCATTTCACAGAATTCTGCTGGCTGTTCTCATCACAAAGAGGGGTTACTCAGGAGCGTGTGTTGTATTGAAGCCCTTCGTGTCTCAGGCAGTGCGTGTGGGCTGGGGTTGACCTGCCCTTGAGCACTTCTGGCCTCACCTCAGGGTAACTGGGACAGGAGGGCTGTGGGCGAGGTTTGCCTGTGGTTGGCATGGCTCTGGGAAGGGGGCAGACCTGGCAGGATGGAGAGCCCATCCTGATGAGCTACTGATGAACACTGGGTAATCTGTGTTAGCTCGTGATTTAAAGAGAAAAGCTGGGAAAGTTCCTAAGGTGTTTGATGTGCCTTACCATATCTTCCCTAAAGCCTGTTTTTCCTTAAGAATTCTCTTTGATTGAGTCTCAGAGATACTGTAGATCAAATACTACTCATTTCCCCTACTTTCTATTGTGTCATTTGAGTATTTTTCATAAACTGTAGAGGGAACTGATGCCTCTCTCAGTTGTAAACCGAGTTCCTTATTCTCATGGAGGAGCTCATCTTCCCTCTGAGTGGTGCCTGGTCTTCCCCTCACAGGTGACCGGGAAGCCATTGGCCAGAGCCGGGCTGGAGAGGGGTAGTGGTACCTCAGCAGGGACTGGGGGGCACTGGGCGGCCCAGCTGGGGTGAGGGGTTGTGGGTGAGACTAGTGGATCTAGGGAGCCCTGGGGGACCTGGAGAAAGGCCCAGAGCAGGGGCGTCTGGAAGGCAGGGCTTCCCTGTGAGAAAGGGGCTTCTCACACCCCCTGTGCACCCCATGGATGTCCTACTGTACAGGACTCCTTGGACCGAGGCTTCTGTGAGTGGCCACAAAAAGTGTGGGAGGCTCCGGGGCTTGGAGGACACCCACGGCCACCTGGTGGGTGCGGCTTGTGGAGAGCTGAGGGCTCCAGTTCTCTCCCACCCATGCGACTCATCATTTTCTCTCAGTCAGGGGAGGAGGGAGGGCTGCTCTGGAGGGAATGTGCCTTTCAGGAGTGGGGTGGGGAGCCCCTGGCTGCACGAATAGGGGCGCTGTGGGTTGTAGGAAGAGGAAACCCACCTGGGCCCTCTGAGCCATGGTGGTTCTTAGGTGTCACGGAGCCAAGGGTGGCTTTTAAGGCAGTGTCCTGTGTGTCGGCTCTTTCAGCTGAGAGTGGACAGAGCAGCGGGCAGTTCCAGGGGCGGCCCTCTGAGGTCTGGTCACAGTGGCAGAGCCAGCACCACGGGCAGCAGAGCGGTGAGCAGCACCCCCACCAGCAGCCCGGCCAGACTGAAGTGTTCCAGGTAAATCGAGCGAGCACCGCCTTCTCCTAGGTACCGGCGCCTTCTCTCTGCTTCCTTTCCCCCTGGTCCTGCTGCACACCGCCTGCCCCTAGTGAGCCAGCGTGCGTTCTGGCCGCCCTGGGCTAGAGGGAGGCAGGAGTAGAAGGGCCCGCAGGTGCCTGTGGGTGACATGCAGGGGAGGCTGTGTTCTGGAGATCCTCCCTAGCACCAGGGCAGCACCAGGGCTGCCTGGAAGGCGTGGAGCAGAGGCTGAGGGCCTGGCCCAGGCTGTGCACTGGGCCTGGAGCACAGGTGCCTCAGTTGAGATTGCTCTACTGCCCTGTTACCCGTGACCATTGCACCCAGGACAGGCCAGCAAGCCCTGGCTTGGCTTCCGCTGGGGTTAGGCTTGGGATGGCCACTGGTCTAGACAGGCCTGGTTTCCTCTGTGCCTGGGGCCGACCTGGGCAGCAGGTGGGCATTGCTTTCCACCCACAGTGCTCTGGTTCCTGCTTCAGCAAGAACCCTTTTCCTGGAGGCTGTGGGCAGGCTGTGAGCCCAGTGAGCCTCAGCTGCAGCCCCGCAGCTCTGTCCCAGTGCAAGGCAAGACGAGGGAGGGACCGCGTCTGAGTCTCTCAGATCATTTCCTCCTTCCCCAGGGTCTGTGCCTCCGTTGCCTCATCCTCATCCTGAGCTGCCCTGAGGGAGAGGCAAGGAGCATCCTCACAGAGGAAGGTCCAGAGCAAGGGGTCCATCAGGGCCCCACCAGAGCGGTGGCCTCTTCAATGTCCAGGAGCCTTGGCCCAGCCCCTGGCTCCTCCCCTGCACAGCTGGGACTCTGACCTCCTCCCTTGAGGCTCTACCAGGCAGAATTTCCTAATCAGGGTGACCATGCTAAAAAGAATTCTTGGTCAAATAAGTTTATGAGACATTGGTTAAACAGAGTTACTCAGCTTCTTTCTGCAGAACAGATGCCCAGTGAGGACTGAAGTTCTAGGAGGTAGGCCAAGTTTGTTTCCCAAATTTATTTGTCCACAGAATTCTTTTCTCACAGACCATCGCAGGAGCTGGGCTGTGACGGAACACCCAATGAGACATTGGGAATTGCCAGTCCTATTTTCTGGACAGGTAGTTTGAGTCCAGAACACCTGAAGGACTCGGGGAGCTGGAGTCTCCCTGGGATGTAGCACTGCCCTTGAGATCTCCGCACTCCTGCCCTGTCTGCTTGGTGTTGCATTTCTGTTGTGTTTTGCTGTTTGCGAGGTTCGGGGCTGGGTCTGTCCGGCTCACCTTATTCCCGGGCCCAGTGTCAGAGAACAAAGGTGTGTCCTGCAGTGGTTCACCTGCCGGCCCACCAGCCCAGGGAAACAGTCCCCAGGGACTCCACCATGTGGGCTGGGAGTTTTCCCTGCTGCCTGCCAGACAGGTGGCTGCGAGGGTGAGTGGTGGGCGGGGCTTGGGGATGCGCCTGGTTTTCAGGGCGAAGATGCTTACCCCTATGGCTTGCTTTCTTTTCTTCTGTAGGACATGCTGCCCATGCCAGGAGACCCGACCCAGGGGACTGGCAACTATAACATCGAGGACTTTGCCGACCTAGGCATGTTCCCGCCCTTTTCTGAGTAGCTGTGGGGCAGAGCGAGGCTCCCCTGGACAGAGCCACTGCGCTGCAACATCAGCACCCAGCTTGCCCTGCCACGGGACCCCATCGCAGTGCCCCTCCCCCTGCACTCCCCCAGGCATGGCACTGTTCAGCTTTCACCGCAGCTGTGGCTTCTCTGTTGCTACTGACCAAGGCCCTGCTGGGTGTCTGGGGCTTGGTTGTATTTATTGTATTTTATCTGTGTGTGCTCTCCGGCCCTCAGACTCAGCCACAAATATCCCCTCGGTAGGCGGTGTGCACCGTGAGAAGTTCATCTGATGCCCAGAGCAGCAGCAGCCGCCCTCCTGGGATGCCGGAATCTGGCTTGCGCTTGCTTTTCACAGCTGCTGGCTGGTGGCCAGGGGTGGGCAAGGGGCAGGCAGGGGCAGGGCCTTTTGTCACGCCCTGGAGCTGAGGAGCCTGGGAGGCCCACTGCCCGCTGCTGTGCCAGTGGGCCCATTGTGATGTGGGTGTTTGTGCTTTGTGTGGTGAGACGTGAACTGTCCGTCCTGATGGGTGTGTTGTGCCTTGTGTCTGTCATGTGTGGCCCGAGCGTGTGTGTAGAATCCAGACCGCAGTGAGTGTGAGCGCCAGGATGCACAGCCCCTGCCCCTGTCCTCACTGAGGATACTGGCGCAAGGCTGGCAGGGAGGCAGCTGACAGGCTGGCCCTTCCACGGTGTCACCAGGAGCTGAGGCTGGGGACCTGCTCACTGAGAGGGGTCAGTTGTTCAGTCTAGGCCCCTGCTTTGGGTCCAAGCTCCTCCATGCAGAGGAAGCAGCCCTTTCCCCATCTCAGAGCCCAGGGGTCATCTCAGAGCCCTTTCCCCATCTCAGAGCCTGGGGGTCACTGTCTTCTCTCACCAACGGCAGAGACAGGATGCCTGGTATCCTGGGCTGTGCCCTGGACTGGGTGGGGGCAGCTTCTGTGTGGAGCTGATGCCCTGATGCCCTGATGCCCCGTCCCCCAGAGGGATACAGTGCAGGTCTGCGAGGCAGAGGACCTGGCTCTGGCTCTGCTTGCAGCTCTGCTCCTGCCACACAACTGCCCAGGCCCTGAGTTCTCAGCGGTCTCAAGACAGGAGCACCGGCTGACTTCCAGACACCTCTGCCTGCTGCCTGCTGAGCCCAAAGGCCCTGGCTGCAGTGTTTCGTTTTCACGGGCTCTGCTATCTCCGCTTCCCTCATTTGCTTCTTTTCCCACCAGTCACCTCATTCTCGCACATCACCCCTCAGCCCACTGATGCCCACGTGGGAGAGGGGCCACCCTTGGAAAAGCCCTGGGGTACTCCCAGAGCCCCTGCGGACGCTGCACAGTACTGTGTCCCTGCCCACGGGTCCCTGAGGTTGGGGAATGAGTGAGTAGAGGAAGCCCCAGGTGCAGGTAGGAGCTCTGCCTGGTGTCTGGCCCCTGAGCTGTCAAAAGCCAGCCTTCCTCCCAGCAGGATGCCCTGCCCCAGCACCTGGCCTTGTGTGGTCCGGGGTCTGAGACCGGCCGAACCTGGCGCTGCAGTCTCTAGAGCAGCTGTTAGCCCTGGTGTAGACAGCGGTGACTGGGACCTGAGTGTAGATGCTCGTGTTTGCTCCATCCTCAAGTCTCTTGCTACTGGGGAAATGGAGTCACCACAGGCAGCCCCAGCTCAGGCTCCTGGTGCTACCTGGGGCCATCTCAGTGCCCAGCAGCCTTGGGCTTGCTGTGGGCAGTGAGCGTCATCCTCCCCCCAAAAAGGCACAAAAATAACCTTTGGAGCAAAGAAATATTCTCAATGAGAGGGAAATAGACTTCATGTGGCCTTCAGCTTGTGAGTATGGAGGTTCATTTTTGCCCTCTGTATGGTAGAGGACAGTTGGGCGACACCAGAGAGCAGCCGACTCTGCTGCTGCCCTGCTGGTCCCTGCTGAACCTGAGGGATCCGTAGCCAGCAAAGAGGACCCGCTCTGGCCACCGCCCTCCTGTGCCTCTGACCTCAGCAGGACTTCAGGGTGCCTGGGCCGGGATTTGTAGCCCGAGGAGAGCTATGGCCCCTGAGGCCGACCTCCTCCTTCCCCACCTTGTTCTGGGAGCAGGGCAGCAGCTGTTGGGGTCTGATGGCAGGTGTGAGCCCTGTGTCTTTTCTATCTCCCACTCTGCATTTTGTGGTGATTCTCAGAAGCTGTCCTGTAGCCAGTAAGAAAGTAGACAAGGGGTGACAGGGAGCAGTCCAGGGCTGGGCAGAGCCCACAGGGGGCACTGAGACACAAGGGGGAAGAGCATAGCCCTGAACTGCAGGCTTGGTGTCCTGGTTTGGAAAGAACCCCCCACACCATCCTGCTGGCCCAGGAGGCCAGGTCCTCTCCTGCGAAGAACAGGTCATTGCCAGCGGGGAGGGGAGGCTCCTGGCTTCCTGTAGCAGTGAGGCGCTTCTGTGCTCCTGGATGTGCCCAGGTTCTTCTCAGGCTGAGGGCTGCACCATGGCTGTCATCAGCGAGGACACATTGAGGTGCCACCAGGACTGGCCAGGGATGGTGACAGTGGCTGGGGTGATTCTAGAACATGCTGTCTGCATGTCCCTGTGCCCTGGCTCTGTTGTTAGCTCTGTTCAGGGGGTGAGAAGCCATGACAGGAGCCAAGTTCTCCTCCACTTCCCAACACATCAGGTTCAGCCCTGTGGTTTTTTCATGAAGAGAGAACAGTGCAGAGTGGGGTGTACCAGGTCCTAATAGAGCTTACACTGGGACGCTTAGGTCTGCTGTGTCAGTATGTTAACTGTGCGTCTCCAGGTTAGCCCTGCTTGCGGGTATCAGTGCTCCAACCAACCTGGCACAGGAGGAGGCAGGCCCCAGGCAGCTAGGAGGCTCGCTGTCCTGCACACCAGGAACAGCCGTGAGCTGTGCAAGGCCATGCATGCTCACCCAACGGGGCCATCTGCTCATAACAGTTACTGTCTGTCACTTAAACGGGAACCAGCCAGGTGGCTGGTGATAGAATTGATGCGCTCTTTGTATGACTAGAAAGGGAGCTGGGTAGGATGTCGCTGGGTCCAGCTGCCAGGGGTCCAGCTTCCCCGTCCCTACGGGATCCCATGCACCAGGGTCCATAAGCACCTTCTGTCTGTCTTCGCTGCCCCCTGGGCTACAGGGGACCTGGTAGGTTACTACACAGGGCATGTGCACATTTTCACGCTTCGCACGCCTGGGTCTTATGGCTGGAGCTGCTTTATGGTCCAGCAACCAGCCAAAGCCCAGGGGGCACCAACTAGCAAAGCCGAGGCTTGACAGGCTGGGCAGAAGCAGAGTAGCTTGCTTCATCTAACAATCGGTTTTCTTAAAGAAAAGAAAAAGAGCTCACAAGCAGGCCTCAGTGGACAACAAGCACTTAGTCATCTCTCTCTTAACCCTTCTTCTTATGGATGTGAACTGTGCTGTGGATAAATCATTTGTATTTCTTGAATGTTCTCCCTGACTAACAGTTATTAAGTCGCTGTGTATATGTGTAACTAATGTAACTGCCTCTGAAATTTTCATTACAATAAAAATGACTTTGCCCTGCACCAGCTTGTAATGGACCTACTTGCGGAACCTGCCTCGAGGTTGGGAATATGTGGTGTTGTCCCCCTCCTAAGGCCACTCCTGGGTGTTAATGGGCCGCCTTTGGGGTTCTAGGGACTTAGGATGGAAGAGAAAACTAACAATTCTCCTGGGTAAGGCAAGGCTCTGTAGGAGGTTCTTTGCAAATACTTCTTTTTTAATCATTATAGATCTGGGATCTGGGCCTACTACTCCTGGCTTATAGGAACCCGATTAAGTGGCTTATCTGACAATACACAGGAGGAAGTGGTAGAAGCAGGACCTGACCTCTGGTCTCTCTCCAGAGCCCTGTCGATAGCTATATTGTCCTTTTGAAACACTCATTATTTTGGGGGTATTTGCAGAATTAAGTTGGTGTCTTAACTGAACCTTAGTAAATACTAACAAATTCTAATTTTTCTCTGTTGCAAGAGGACTACTTGACCCTTGTATCAAACATCTAGCATTGTTGTTTTACATCTTTACTGACTGATTACAGGCATAAAATGCACAAATTTTAAGTACACAGGAGAAATGGTGTGACTGTGGGTTGGATGTGGACAGCTTAGACGCTACACCAAACATGAAGCCTATGAAAAAAGTGAATTGACAAACTGGACGTCATGAAATATAAGACATTTACTTCTCAAGAGATACTTTTAAGAGAATGCGAAGATAAGTGCCTGGCTGAGGGGAAAGAATTGCAAATCATATATCTAAAGAACACTTGAAACTTATTAAGACAAACAACTTAGCACAAAATAGGCAAAAATATTTCATATATACCTTCAAATTACACCACAAAAGATGTACAGAGGCAAGCAAGGTACAGTGGTGCACACCTATAGTCGCAGCTACTCAGGAGGCTGAGCCAGGAAGATCACCTGAGCCCAAGACTTTGAGGTTACCCAGAGGAACATAGCAAGAGTCCATCTCAAAAACAAAAGTACACAGAGGGCAAATACAAAACACTACATGGTAGCACGTGAAAGTAATGGTTAGTATTATTAGTCATCAGGGGAATACCAAGGAAAAGCTCCATGAGATAGCATTCTAACATTTGTCTAAAATTTAGCAGGTGTTGTTGAGGATATGAAAGAAATACAATCCTCATATGGGCAACGTGGTGGCACCCAGCTGCTGTGTGAACAGTTCAGAGGTTTCTTGTGAAGTTAGGCATCATTCGCCCTGTCACCTGGCCCTCCCACAGCTAGTCATCTGCCCAAGGGAGATGGAACGCACATCTACACAAAGACCTTGTGGGAACATTCATTGCAGTTGCCAGGGATGAACAGTAGCCTAAGTGCCCGTGGACGGGGTGGATGAGTAAATCCTGCAGTGGCGGAACACTGCTCAGTCACAACAGCAAACAGTGTAGACCTAAGCAGCAACACAGAAGATGCACAAAAGAATCCCACAGGGCAGAAGCCAGGCACGCAGAGCGAGTGATCACATTCTGAAAAGTCCAGGAAAGCCAGGCCCAGCCTGACTGGGACAGATGGAAGGACAGGTACAAAGGTTGAGATGACGGAAGGTCCCATACTGAGTGATAGGTGCAATACACAGGGGAAAAAACTTGTCAAGCCAGTCACTCAAGAAGAGCACATTAAACTACAGTGTACTCAAGTTCTAGCTAAATAAAGCCAGTGTTCAAATATTCACAGCAGAGTTTTTGATAGACTGTATCAAGATGATCCCAAATTTCCTGTGGAATAAAAAGGAAACATAATAGGCAATATATTTTACTGAATAAGATATAAAGACGTAGAGAAGAAAAGAAGAGGAAAAAGAGCAAGTATTCATCCTCCCAGAGAGTGGGAGGTTTCATAATTGAAATTGTGGGCTTGGCATAGAGGTAGAAACAAGATCAACAGAACACGACAAAGTCCCTAGACATCCGTACACATCAGACAGGAGTCTCACTGGGAAGAGTTGGTGTCAATAATTACAGGGAACGGAGAGGCTTTCAATGAACAGTGTTGGAAAATATATTTATAAAATCCAGTTAGTAAGGACTTCTTAACCAAGGAACAAAGACATCTATGAAGTAAAATATTGATAAGCTAGAACTCAAAGTCTGACTCAAAAATGTAAAAAAAAAGTCAATTAATTGGTAGAAAACATTTGCAATTTATGTACCCACAAGAATAAATAGTATTCAAAATATATAAAGGATTCTTACAAAACAGTTTTAAAAAATATGCCTCAATAGGTTAATAGTCAAAGGATTTGAGTTGTCAATGCCTAGAAACTCAAATGACATTAATTCTGCCAGAATTAACAACTTCACTGATAATCAAAGGAGATGAAAAATTAAAACAAGATAACTGTGTCATTCAGATTGACTAAGTCTGCAAACATAGCTGCTGGTGAGGAGGAGAAACGGCTCTCTTCCTAGGTGGGGGGAAGTAGATTGATTGCTGAGAGTGCACCAGGCGGTATCAGGAATGTCAAAGCCATGCAAATCCTTTGACAGGGAATGTAACTCCAGGAAACTTCCCACAAGCATAAGGGGAGACAGTGAGTTAACCTGATTGTTAACGTGATTGGTCCGATAGACATCTGAGTTAGTAAAGCACAATTCTGAGTGGGTGCCTCTGAGTGGGTTATGAGTGCATGACTTTTGGGACTGTATCTGGTCCCTGGACCTTTCTTCTCTGGCACTTGCCCTGTGCTCTGGTTCCTGGCCACCATGAGGTGAGCACTTGTGCTCTACTATGCCCTTCCACTCTGATGTTCCTGCCTTGGAGCCAGCTGACCATGCACTGATACCTGTGAAACCGTGAAGTTAAATCTCTAAATTACAGGTGTCAGGTGTTTTGTTCCAGTGATGGGAAAGCTAACAACACGGAGACATATACAAGGATATTCACCGCTCTGTTAGCAATAGTGAAAAGCCAGAAAGCTATGTTTAGGAGAGAAATGAACAAACTGTGGCTTAGTCATACAGAGGAACCTATCAGAGCACTTAAATTAGCTTGATGCAGAATTCTAAAAGTATAGCACTGAATTGAAAACGCTGTGCATATTTTTATAACTCAAAGTACTAATATGTTTTGTTTGTGACTAAATAGATAAGTAATCTTTTAAAGCCCCTGATAGATACACCCAACTCTGGAGAATGGTTTTCTTTAAAGAGAGGAAAGAGGAAGGCAACTGACAGAGCTGAATTCCTCAAAACAGATTCAGAGAGGAAGGAGAAGAGAGAGAAGAACTGGCAGAAAGTAAAGGGAATAGGGCAAGCATCTGAAGCAATTACGGTAAAATGCTACGCAGCTGCCTCACCCCAGGATTGCCCATATGGGCGCCTGTTGGGCTTTCCTCAAATCTGCTGCTTAATGAAAATATTTGGTAATTAAATGTGAATCAGAAGGCAGATACTCAGTCTCACAAGTAGTCAGAGAAGTGCAAATTAAAATAACAGTGACATGGCATTTCTCACCCCAGTGGGTTGGCAAGAGGGAAGTGGCATGTGAAGGGATTTTTTTAAACTTATTTTTTGGTGAAAATTGTGAAGTTTCTTGAAACTTTCTTTGACAATAATGTGGCAATATCTAATAAATTAAGTAAAGCTATCTTTTGGGCTATCTTACTTCTAGAGACTCATCCCTGTGAAATTTTGTACTGGGGGGACAATTGTAAATGAAAGTCCACCAATAAAGAAATGGTTGAAAAATTAGAAAACACCCTTATTGTTATTTCAAAATATTAACAGATACAAGGAAAGTATAAGTAATAATTAATCTACTTTGATACAACAAACACACCCAAGGCACAGTGTGGAGTCATTGTCAGTTTCTGGTTATATAACCATGCGCGAGTACATGTACAAAGTCTGTGAATTTTTAACATCAGGCTGTATGTGGAGCGGAGAGAATTGTCACATGACTGTAGAAGCAGAGAGAGTAAGCAAAAGTGAAAATAAATGTAACACTGCATTTATATAAAATTACTCATGTGCTCATCTAGATGCATAAAAGATGTATAAAAATATTTTCATGGTAGTCTCCATAGAGCCTGAGAATTTCCCGTGCATTCGTGTAACTTTTAGTACAACTTACTTTGCTAAGAGCACAGTATACTTTAGTTATAAAATCATACCAAGCAATAAAAAGCAAATTGCCTCCCAGACTAAGAGGAAAAGAAATGATCCACCCCTGTACTAGGAATATGCAGAAATTTAGACGTCAAAGGGCACAAAATCGAAGTGTGACCCATGTGATCACACTGCTCCACAGGGACAGTGGCAGACAGAGGGGAGGACACAACTGCGTGCAGTGCCACGCAGAGAGAGATGGTGACCAGAAGCCAGGCACTTGCTGTGACCTGAGCTGAGATTTCCCCCGGGCTCCTTCTAACTGACACAGCCACAGCCAGCAAACAGAAAACCTGCTCTTTACGTAGGCGGAACAGTCATGATTGTTTTCCAGACTTTACCAGTAATGGGCAGACATTGTTTTTAAAGTGCAGAGTATAGAAAACTACGAAGCATGAAAATGCTGTATTCTACTTTACTCTTACTGATGAGAGGGCTGAGTGGGGGGATGGGAGGGAAGCACAGTGCCTGCCTGGGGGAACAGAGGGGTGAAGGAGCAGCACCCCTTTTCCTGGGTGTTCGGATACAGCTCCCAGCCTTCCTTCATGAGAGTGGTGCAGAAAAGTTGTTCCCTGCTCTTTCCCTGAGAAAAATAATGTCTCCATCCACCGCACGGAGGCTGGACCCTTGGGCTGGCTTCCCCTGCACACGCTGTCGCACATTTTCTCTGACCCACTGTGTGGCCCCTCCCATCTGCTGTGCTGGGTGACCCCAGGGAGCCCTCCCCAAAGGAGTGCTCGCTTCCTGGAGGAGAGGGCCCTGTGCAAAGCGTGAAGGCTACAGGTTGAGGGCACCCCATCCTGTCCCAGCGGAAGAGAGGGCAAGGACGGAAGAATTACTCATGATGTTGTGATCAGTGACTTCACCATCAGGTCCCCGGGGAGCCTT